CTAGCTGCCTTTTACAGTTTACACTTTCTTTCAAAATCGCTATAAAGTCAAATTATTTTAAAATTAACTACAATTTTCATGTCTTGCCGTCACCTGTACAATTCAATAAATAAATAAGAAAAAAACATATTTTTTTATAAATAATGCACGGAAACTTAAAATGTGGTTTCGGTGGAAGGTCGAAAAACAAAAGATTCAAAAAAAAAAAAGTGAGATTGTATTGTTTGTTTTTGATACATGTTTGTCAACCGATTTAGTAATTGAATCTCAATTTAAAAAATTATTAGGTTTAGTAATATATTTTATAAAAATTACCAACTAAATATTTAATTTAATTTATTATAATATTGATTAATTTACTAACAACTTTATTGTGAATCTTGTGTAATTATTATTGTACGCAGTTGTATAATTGATAATATATTATATTTGATGTGTTTTAATTTTAATAAAAATAAAACGAGTTTATAAATAAAATAATATATTCATCAAATTTCTTTTTTATTTTTTAATGCAACCTTGCCTCTTAAAATTTTAGATTCAAAAACCGAAAATACTAAAAACGTTTTTAGATTGATCATTAGAATCATTTTATGAAAACAAAACTGTTAAATCCTACAAAATCATTAGAAATAGTGACAGATAACAAAATTTGTTGGATTGAAGGAAATATAAAGGTTCATGATTAAATAAGACATTAAACACACATTTTAAAATGATTTAAAAATAGTTTTTATCAATGTACTTTAGTTGAAGGAACGACTTAGTCTATAAACTATAGTTTGTAACAGTTTATTTCATGTCTTTTTAAACTTGTACTTTATTTCATGATTCTTTGTTGGCAATTCAACTGATTCGAGATACACACAAGGGGAGATGAGCAAAATTGGGTGATGGAGATTCAAGCCCTAACCTGCTGCTTTGCCTTCATTTCCTTTTCCCATTCGTCCCGTCAATCCAATCGTGCTGCCCATGGTTTAGCAAAATGGGGGATCACTTCCCCTTCTGCCACATATGCCTGGCTGTTTAATTTCCCTACGTGGCTTTTAGATCTTGTTCAAAGGGACTTCCCTTCAAATTTTGCCCATGTGGCTTAATTTAATGAAATCACTTCTTCAAAAAAAAAAATTAATAATAAATAAATAAAATCTTAACATACAACAATTTAGTATATGTAGTTTAAAGTTTGTAATATTTTAGTCTCTGTTTGTGATATTTTTTTTTTGCTAAATTTATTGCATGTATAGATCAATAAACCTATGAGCAACCACATGCATGTGTAAGTTATAAATACTAAATTGTTATATGATGAAAGTTGATTTAGGGTTTTTGATATTCGATGAACAAAACTTCAAAATATTGAAAATCATTTGTTTTTTTATCTTAGTATGGTGGAGTGAGAGAATTCGAACTAATGACCAATTAGTCTGAAGTAGATGTTAATTATCGCTGATCTAAACTTATGTTAACAAAAATAATTTATTTTAAGCCACGACGAACCAACCTTTTAGTACAACACATTGAGACGATAATTCAAATTTATAATCTGTTGGTCAATATATGTGACTTAATCAGTTCAAACTCTGTTCCTATTGACTAAGTCATAGACCAATTTCAACCTTACATATTAGATTTTGAAACACATTTGATTTGAGTTAGTGTTAAATTATTATTTGAAAACTAACAAAATAAAACATATGTAAAAATTAGAACATAATAAATAAAAGAAAAAAGGTTAAGAACTTGCCATCATTGCATGAAGACCAACGATTACTTACCATCCGACTCACGTATCATTAAAGTAATATCGAATTATTAATTGAAATTTGGAATTATGTTTATTAAATTTCGACATATCTTAAATTTTGGCGGAGTCGCCTTTCCGCTTTGAGATACACAAAATTTCCCTCCATCGCAATTTCCGCTTAGGTGAGAGAAAATGACAGAGATTCAAGGAAAGAGCGAGAAAATGGACAAACGGAAGAGGGAAAGTAGGCTGCTGGTCTTCACCGGAGGCGCTGCTCTGCTCGCCGTCGCCGCGAACCTCGCTGTTGCCGCCATCATCAGACGAAAGAAGAAGAAAGGTATTCTGGTTCGAACAGTTCCACTTCTCTTCATTACTTCACTTCCGAGCTGTCTCACTTCCCAGTGTTTCCTGTAACACATGCGTTCATGTTAAGACGCATCTGGCATGTATGCAGTGAAGCATGTGTCGGTAGCAATGTCATACTGTTTATGTGCTTACTGTTGATGACTAACAGAGCTCCCAGGATGTAAGGTACGCGTCAACCTTTCGGCATCTGAGATTCTGAACTTAGCGGATAGAATTATTGCGAATTCGAAGAAGGTTCATGATGCCGTTGCCTCAGTTCCTCCTAACAAGGTGTCGATTATCTTGCCTTTTACTGCCAACTTCTGTATCTATATATATCTGCTCCATTTTAATTTTTCTATCTCATGTAAAGACACTCATCTGCAATTACGATCAATTCAGACTGGCGAAGGATGTGGACCGGTTGATAGAATAATAGTCTTGATGCGTTGTTGATAACTACTAACGTTTCAGCGAAACTCTGGACGTGTAGCAAGTGGTTAACTGTAATGGAGTTAATTTTAGATATGTAAATGCCGCTACATTGAATCGGAATTGGTCAACGAATATTTGGAAGTAGAGACAAGAATACGGCTGTCTGTTTGTAGTGATCATATAACAAATCCTTATTTTCCTTACAACCTGAATTTGATTTCTAACATGTTCGGAGGTATTTTTAATACTACCTCAATTGAAGCCTGCAGGTTACACATTCGAATGTAATTTCCCCTCTGGCTGATTTAGAGGCCGAACAATTTCCACTAGTACAATCTTGCGTGTTTCCAAAACTAGTATCGACGTCAGATGATGTGCGCAAAGCAAGTGCTGAAGCAGAGCGGAGAATAGATGCTCATGTTCAGATGTGCAGGTATCACTAATTGCTATCTTTCTTGAAAGGTTACATTCGTGAACTGTTAACACCTTGTTTTCCCCCCTTCAGTTATATGATTTACAGGCATAAACATGAAATGTAAATTGTTTGCCATAATGGGCAGGGGCAACAAATTGAAGCGAATTATGTACCTGGACTCTTAATTAATGTAAATGCCATGGGAATCAATTTTGTAGAATTGAAGAGCTTAGAAACCATGTCCCTGATAAACTGTTTTCTAGATTGCTCCGTGAGCAGATTTTAGAGCACAATAGAAAATTGTATGCCTTTGCCAGTTAAAGAACTCATTGTTTTTTCTGTGTGGGCTGAGCAGCAAACGTGAAGATGTTTATCGTGTTATCAAATCGTTTTCTACAAGATATGAGCAGACAAGTGCTGAACAGAAGTGCTTTATCCAACGCTTGGTATGGACTCATAGTAGGTTATAATTTAGAGAGATTCTTGTACCTCTTTTCTTGAATTCAAAGTGTTGTACCTTAAAATATGAAAGATAACTACTAAATCCAACTATTTAGATATTTACATAAAATACAATGTAGTCTATAAGTTAAATTACAAAGAACCAAGACTCTAACTGGTGTCGAGCTTAAAATACTTTTTTTGTTTAATTAATTTTTTCTGTCATTTTTTCCCTGCATTATGTGTGTGTGAACATATTAAGATATTTGTTCTTTGCAACTTGCTTCCCCCTACTTTATTCTCATGGATGGCTGATGTCTTGAACAATTGAAGTTGTTATTCTTTAGAAAATATAGCTCGAATACACCTTTTAGATTTAATAGAAGGCTCTATATAATTAAGAGGGAATGAGTTCAAACCCCATGATGGCTACCTACCTTAGGAATTAGTAATTCCTATGTGTTTCCTGGCACCAAATTTTGTAGGATCAGACGGTTGTCCCGTGAGATTAATCGAGGTGCGTGTAAGCTAGCCCGCACACTCACAGATAAAAAAT